TTGTTCACATCAGACCCAGGCCAGAGCCTAATGGACCAGTCATCAGAGCATTATTTCATTCCGGAGCTGCGGCGTTTATACGACGAATACTTCGGCAATGCGGTGCTCAATCATACCGAGAGTTTCTGATTGATATCTTGGGGGTGCTTTCACCTGAATCTGTGCGGAGAATTTCGCTGTTCTGGGAGAGAATTGGATATAGTCACAAGGACTGTATCTACCTAGACGTCCGCAACAAGCTCTGGAAAAGAGATAACTTTGCCGAGATGGTGAGAACAGAGGCTGCCATTGTACGTCTGCCAATTTGATAGGGTGGCACAAAAACATCGCTAATATTCAGTCTTAGATGCACATGTGGTTTGTAATAGCGGTCCTGGCAAGCGGCGATGGTGATGACACGGAGCCTTTTGACGCCGTCGTGCTTGATCTTGCACGACGCAGCTATATGGAAGCTCAGGAGACATTTCGACAGGCTGGGTTCTGGCTTTCGAAGTCACGATGAGTACGTTGTGTTCGTGGTTTCTCGGGGTTCAGCTTCCACGTCATTTATGCTTATTGGCATGTCCTTTTTGTGGCATCATCACCTTTCAAGGCTTTGTAAGATAACGTTATTAATCTGATTTACTGTTCTACAACCCAGGACGGATTTCACTTGAACAGATCAAATTCGTGGTATCTAGTGTGGAGCTGAGCATGCCTCGTGACGCACACAGGGCAAACGACGGATGGGGAACGGGCATTGCGGGCAGCACCATTCGTTGACCACATTACCCTCCGCCTAGGGCCGCATCATCAATCGACGCAAGGTCTCAGCTCGAATGGTACAAGGATCCATGCAAGGCCGTGTCGGGCTGGTAGTGTCTGCCCAATTGCCCATCATCCTAGCGCTACGCAAAACAAGCTCCAGCCGCCCTTCCACGCGGCGTTCAAGGTTCGGTCGAGAACGACACGCCAATAATCCCAATTCATCGCAGGTTGACCATGGCGTGGTGTATGTAGAATTCGGGGTCCTTTCACAGACTTCCACTCCCTTGCTCATGGTCGCTAATCGACATGGGGCATTGACATTCGAAATTGAACGAAATGTCGACGCCAGAAAGCTCCATACGCCCAAGCTGAGGATCCGCGAGTGCCCATTTTCGTTTCTTATCAGGGGCTTAGCGGCGTCAGTGGGTTGAAGCATCAGATATATAAGGCTTGCGGTGTTCGAGGTAGGGCGCAAATGCAGGACGTGAAGAACCTGGTTCAAGATCCCAACTCAGCAGCGACGCGCTATTCTGCACTCACAGCATGAACCCTTATCAACGGAAATACCGAAGAATGACCGATCACGAAGAGAGAGCCTTCAGCCGACTGTACCCGGCTGTCAGAGATGAGCTTAACGAACGCTCAGGGGTTTACACGTTCCAGGAAGGATCAAACATCGTCATCGAGTTGGCAGAAAATATCACAATGCCAAAGCAAAGATTTTTCAGAATCGTCGCAGAGTACAAAAGGTTGAGAGCTCTTCGGCGCACTACCAGTCGCTGCCCCAAACATTCGGCCTTTCGATCCTCTCCGCTGAACCCGCACAATGACACCACATGACAACAACCCGAGGACAAACACCAGAAGCAACTGTGAGGAAGGGTTGCTGGAACGATGCTTCTTTTACTCATTGGACTGTGGTTGCAGTCTCCTTGTTGGGTGTGGGTATGCACTAGCAGGACGGCTGCAACCTGACGTTTTCGGGGATATTATTCGTGTGGTGTGGGAAGAAGTCTCAGCAATTTCGGCAGATTCACACAGCCTCCAGTTGACGTTGACTGACATGACCTCTGATCCTTGCAATGAATGCCGCCTCATTATATCCCTAGCCACACACAAATGATTATATACAATTTCGCCCCTTCATCTGTTCGCCTGTTTGCGGTTCAAGAAAGGCCTGCGCTTCACGCCCGCAAGCTCTCGCTTAAGTAGACACGAACAGAAGTATACGGGGCGCATGCCGGTTTGACAGGATGATCACTACGGAGCGGGGCTTCCAATGCCACCTTAATCCCCGAGCACGGGGTTAGGCCGGGTTCCCCGGCACGGGCATGTCAAGGATCGGTCCAACCGGCTCCCAATGGTTTCTCCATCCGCTGCAGGTGGGACGCACGTCAATGTACGGCACGACGTCTCGACGTCTGTGCATACGTCCGTAATTGTGGAACATTTGCATTTCTGTCATGACATCCCGTAAACGGAGGTTGTCTGTTTACGGTCTTGCCGCAGCATGCTGACACTGAGAATGGAGCCGCGAGGGTCTCGCACTCGGACTTGGGACGGCAGCAGCCAGCTTCAGCTCTAGCTAGGAGGTTCAAAACGACTTTCATACTCGTTCTCATTCACTGCTTCTTCCCCTATTCCGAGTCAAGTCGAAAGCAGGCTGATCGGTCCGAAATCCCGAGGGTCTCATTTGTGACATGCTGGCGCCAGCGTGAGACGGAGTCTCGCACGATTCCAAACTTTCTACATCATTCCACCTTCTGGCTCATATCCATCCTACATTAACCTCTAGTCACACCCCGCTCGGTTGCTAGATCATACTAAAGATCTTCGCCTATTAGCCCCGTGCATCTCAAATGCCCTTACCGGCCGAAAGTCATTTCCCATTCTTGGCTAGAACCTTTCTCATTTCTTTGGAGGACAGAAACTTCCGAATATCATTGACTAAGTCATCAGGACATTCAAGAGCTGGAAAGTGACCGCCATGTTCATGCTGGCGCCAAAAGATGATGTTCGCAAGCTGCTTCGCCCAGTCCTTTGGACACTACAGACTCAAAGTTAGCGAAGTAAACACAACACATTTATTTGACTTGTACTGACCGGAAGGATCTCTCCGGGAAAGATGCTCACGCCTGTGAGAACCTTGAGATGCCCGTCAAAGGCTTTATCAGCTTCCTGCTTATCTCCGAACGCCTCTCTGAAGAAGCGCAAACCTGGGGTTGCCCCTTGAATCCAGTGCATCATGACCAAGTTGATGATGTCGTCGTTGCTCAACGCTTCGGGTACATCGACCCAAGATTGAAGCTTTTCCACGAACCACGCCAGCAGACCGATGGGCGAGTCGCCGAGTGCAAAGCCCAAAGTCTGAGGCCGTGTTTCCTGCATGTCGATGTATGCGCTCTGGTCTCTGTGAAAGACACTGCGAGTCTTCAAAAGCCTCTTTTCGTACTTCGAGTAGAGTACCCCGGACATACGCAAGCGAAGATAGGCAAACGGCGCGACACCAAAAGTTGGAGTGGGGGCTGGGAACGTATTGAAATGTTGCGCTCGTACAACATTGGGGTGCTGAATTGCCATCCAGCGAGTAATGAAAGCGCCAAGATCACCTCCCTGAGTTACGAACCAGGGGTAGTTCAAGACATCAGTCATTAGGACTTTGAACGCACGAGCGACCACTGCAGGGCCAACTCCCGACCTCAAGGGGGCAGGCGAGAAGCCAAACCCAGGGATAGATGGCACTATAACGTGAAATGATGCGCAGTTGTCGTTCTCGGAATTGGTCGTAGTCAATTTCTCAATGACCTTGGTAGCTTCAAGAAAGGAACCTGGCCAGCCGTGTACAAATAAGAGCGGGATGGCGTCCGGGTTGGGCGACTTAGTGTGGGTATAGTGCAGTGTGACTAGGCCATAATCAGGAACTTGAATCTTGACAAGGAAATGATTGAACGTTTTATTTATTCGCTCCTAGGGCTAGTTAGATTTCAATCATGAAGAGAAAGTGATAGAGTCGAGAGGCGGGGAACCTGCCTCCTGGTCTTTCCATTTGTACTCATTTCTCCAATATTCCGCCAGTTCCCGAATGCGTGAAACCTTTGCACCTTGAGACCAGTCATCATCAGTGAAATCCGTTTGCTCCTCGGGAAATCTGCAGTAGAGAAGCTTCTGCTCCGTGACTTTCAGAAGCTCTGAATCGATAGTGACGGAAAAGGGAGTCGGACGGTTTAGCTCAAGTTGACAGTCTTCGACAGGAAGCTTGGGCAACATCATGCCCCGACCAGCTGCTCGGCCGCCGCTTCTATGGTTTTGGTACCAGAGTTGTAAGAAGATTGCTCGATTTGGAAGGTGGGTGAGTTTGAATAGGTAGAAACTCCAAATAACCCCCTAGGACAGAGATGCATAGCCAGACGATGGGAACGTACCATTTATTCCGAAGATCCGAGTGCAAGGTTCTGGGGGATCAAACTATCAATGCATGAATCAATGTCACTGTCAACAACCCATAGCGCTGACGATACTTCTGCTGTTCCTGCGTTTCGGTCTGCTCTATTCCCTTCGCATTGAGTTGGCTTGCCGTTGTCCCGCATAATAGACCAGCCGAACCAATGACGGCCACGATTGGGAGTCGCAAATGAGACGAATATGTCCAGACAGAAGCTGGCGCCAGCTAGCAAACCGTGGGGAGATGAGAAATTCATGCAGCGCACTTGGCGCATCCTTAGTAATCGCCCTCTGAAGAAAGGATGAACCACTTCAACTGAAGAAAAAGATACCGCCTCGTGAGGGACCTGGTGTACTAGGCCACGTCACCTGATCTACTAAACTGCAGTGATTGAGGGTTTCCACAGCTTTGAATATCATCCAGACTTTGTTCATCCTTTACTACGCCTGGCGCTTGCGCTTGCACTTGCACTTCCAGAAACCGGTCCCCACCCGACCGATCGGGCCCTGCCGGCCGGCATCCGACCCCACTCCGGCTTGTATGTTTGGCTCAGGTGTCGACCGGCCCGCAAATTGTCATCCGGGCCGAGACCGATTTGTAATGTTTTCAGCCATTAACCCCGCAGCAACAAGATACGCGATTATCGAGCCTTCATGACGTATTTCTGATGAGCAAGAACAGACTACGCACCTTGAGAGTTTGATTTATACCGGGCCAACGTCCGTCTAATATTTCTTCAAAGCCTCCCTAAGCATTTCCCTTCACTCTCCATCATCATCGCTACGGTGTATTTTTGTCAAAATATCCAAACATGAGTGGGAAAGAGTGCCAAGCGCTTGTGGTTGAGGCGCCTAACGGTAAACCATCGTTGGTCAGGAAGTCAATCCCGATTCCCCTGCCGGCATCTAACCAGGCTCTTGTGAAAATCTCACACATCGCGCAGAACCCTACAGACGGCAAGTACATGACCCCAATTTTAGAAAGTGATGCATTATTCTCACATCAGCTCTAGTCCAGTCTTTTGACGGGAATGCCTTTGGCGATGGTGCGGTTCTGGGGTGCGACTTCGTAGGGACAGTCGAAGAGACAGGTGATCAAGTAAACAAGCTCAACAAGGGCGACATCATCGCTGGGCTGATTTGGGGAGGTATGTTGCCTTGGAAGCGTGATATAGACAACTCTGACTTTGGAACAGGAGAAATCAAAGGCATCGGAGGGTTCAGCGAGTATACTATGGCCGACAACGACATCAGCTTCCGGGTCCCGAAGAACATCAGCCTCGAGGAGGCGGCCACGTTGCCGCTTGCTTCCATGACATCGTGGCTTGCTCTGTTCTCCAAAGATTGTCTCGCGATTCCTCGAGAGGGAGGAAAAGATACATCTGTCCTCATTTGGGGCGGTAGTTGTGAGTCTTTTTCCCCAACATCAGTATGCATGCGTTCCGACTAATGATAGATAGCGAGTGTCGGACTTTACGCAATTCAAATTGCTGCACTTCACGGGTTCAAGGTCATCACAACGTGTAGTACACGCCACTTCGACCTTGTTAAATCCCTTGGTGCGAAGTATGCCTTCGACTACCACGACGACGATGTTGTCGAGTCCATCAAGCAAGCGGCACCTGGTCTCAAGTACGTCTTCGACACCATCGGCAACAAGTCCTCTTCAGGCTTGGCGTCTCGAGCAATCGATGAGAGAGGTGGCGGCGGCTTTTGCACTGTAAGACCCGGAAAGGCAAACACTGAGGATGTCACCAAGCAAACTAAGGTGACCGATGTGCTTGTCTGGACTGCCTTCTTGAAGGACCATCGCTACGGCAGTTTCCATTGGCCGGTAAGCCATTCTTACCATCTGCGCACAGCGTCAAATCTCTTTCAGTAACTGACCAAGATAGGCCCATGAGGCAGATCACAAGCTTGGAACTGAGTTCTTCGAGAAGCTTGCGGGTTGGGTTGAGGAAGGCAAGATCAAACCTAACAAGCCTAAGGTTATTCCTGGTGGCCTTGAGGGGGTTCACAAAGGATTCCAGGAGTACCGTGATGGTAATGTCTCCGCTACGAAACTCGTGTATGCGATTTGACCTTTTTCTGACGGGATGGATTGGAGGGCATCATGCTCGGCGTTTGCTCGGCATTTTTCTTTCAACGCAGCAGTGGTCTCATGTTACCGGCCGAGTGTTATGGAGACGGGTCGTCGGCAAGAACATTGAACGATCATTGAATCAAGTTGCCGAACGTAGAAGACAAAACGCAGTATCTTAGTCAAACCTGGGACTAGAAAATCGGGCCTGCTAGAGCCAAGAAGGTTGAGAAAACAAAAGTAAACATCATTCTGCTCTCCTTTCGCTTGTCATCAATCCTACTTTCACCTCTTCAGCCGGTGTGTCTGCTCGATACTTCGTAAGATTCTCCTCCTCTGCCACTGCAGTCTTCTGAGGCGCGTGATTCAGAAGGACTGTCTTGCTCCCGTTTGCGCTGCTCCATTCCTTGCTCGACATGGCCAGGTCACTGCTCTCAGGGTACAGAATTGTTGTGAGAATTCTGCCAACAGTGAGTTGCTGAAGGCGACGTCGAAGAACATTAATAGTCGATGATTGAGAGATGGAAGTCACGAGCAAGACGAGCATGATCGACAACATGACCAACAGCAGAAGGAAAGCCGGGATTCCGAACGCGTAGTGATACTTGATCCTCCGTCCGAACACCTGGATAGAGATTTCGACGGCGTCTTCCGGCACGTTATTGATTGAGCCCAGCGTCCCCTTCGTTCCAACCACCGCTGAAGCCGCAAGATCGGTCCATAGAAGCTTGATGACATTTGAGATGCCAGTCGCATCCGCAGAAAGAGCCTGCCACCGTTCAAAGATGGGCATATTCGACGCACCAGCCAGATCGAATGGCCACTCCTTATTAAGTGCCCCTTGATTCGAATTGTAAGGGAAGAGAAGTTTCATCACACTTGATGGAAAGTCGCTACCGGGTAAGTTATACGTCGTTGACCCGAGAGAGGGTTCAAGCTCGCTGAGTGAAAGAGAGGCGGAATATCCTGGAATATGGAACTCCCGCTGCTTGACTGTTGAAACATTAGGCCGAGAAGCGTACTCGGGTGAGATTATCCCCCAGATGGAACTGATGCCATCCATACTGAGGCCAGAATCTTCCATACCCCAAAGCGGGTAGTCCTCGGGGCTGCTGTAGTTCTTTGGCATGATGGACGTGACCTTAAGACTGCTGAGTCCGTCAGTGCCGTTGGCGGTAAATGTGACTGTCTTTACTATTGTCCGCACAGCCGCGGCGCAAGAGTAAAGGGGAGAAGACCATTTGCTGTGGTTCTCATACACAGCCAGCTTGCTACCGCCATCAACCCTCTGGGGCACACCGCGAAGCAGGCCGCATCCAACGTAAATGTGTGAGATGTTAGCGAGGTCTGCGTTACCGGCGCCGCTGCAAAGTACCTCAACGTCTGAGAAGTTTCTGTCGTCGACGCCGAATGGATTTGACCAGTTTGCAGATGGGTTTGCACCAATAGTAAAATGGTTGAGATCCAGGTAACTGCCGAATCTGCCGAGCCCGAGCCCTCGGTAGCTTGTAAGAACGTCTACGTCAAGCGGGAACTCCTTACCCAGGTGGGAGTCCACGTACGACCATGCCTTCCTGCCGACAGTCTTGTTACTCGTCGCCGTCACGTTCAAATATGCCATAGTCCAAAAGTTGTTAAGCCAGGCTCCTTTGTAGGCTCTTCCATCCAAGTCTGGATTTGCCTGCGTATTCTCGCTGTTGTAGAATGGGTACGTGCGGTTGATGTTTACGAACCCCCCGCGGTCGGTGAGTCTGAGATTGTCAATGCTCGGAGAAGGAACGGTATAATTGACTTCGAAGTCGAGCGTCAAGTTCAGCCCAACGCAACTCGTGATTGGCTCAATAAACAGCAGGTCCTCGGACCAGCTAGCCCCTTGATCGATGTTGGTGGGTATGGTATGGTTCCGGAAACCAATACCACCATTAGCCGCGTCAACAATCAGGCCTTCGACGACCTTGATGTTCGGGTCCATGATGTGGCTCTCTAGCTGACGGTATGCGCCGACAGCAACCTCGGTGCCGTTATCGACGAAGGCCCGTCTCCTGACGGTAAGCTGCCGCCATTCAATGTCGAAGAAGTTTGAGATTGTTGTGCGGTCTTTCGTTCCGCTGGAGAATATTTCCTTCGCGGTGAGGTTGATTTTGGAATCGATGCCGAAGGGCATAGTGAAGTTCAGGGTGCGGTTGCTTCCGCTGACAATAACGCTGCTCTCAGAGTAAGGGCAGGGTGCCGGGCCTTGATCCAGCAGGCTGTGACCCCAGCTACAGGTGCGAGAAAAGTTGTGAAGCCCTCTCTGCGATGTAGCTGCGCCGAAAGACCCGCTGTCTTTGATATACGAGAAGGATCCTAGCCTACTCCCGAGTGTATCGATCTCTTCATAAAGGCCCAGAGGAGTAACAACACCAGCGATGGCGATGAGGACTGAAATGATAGGGACCGCCCAGGAAATGAGGGAGATCCAGAGTCGGGCACCATGGCTTTGTACTGAGTCGGACTGAAGGATCGTGGGCCACCATGTTCGCTGGAGAACACGGCTGGCAATGTTCCTGTATCGTTTGTTCATTAGCAGGCATTACCTATTGGGGTGCAGAAGGTAGCTAAGGAATGAAACGGACTTACCAAGTAGCCACGGTCTCTGTGTCTCGGAGAAAGGCCGCTAGTATTAGGGCGATCGCTGTCGGGCAGAAGATCTGAGCTACCAGCAGATCAGGGTCAATACTTGACTGCAAATCTCCACCATGGTGATTGGACTAAGTCAAAAAGAAATCTTACCGACAACGATAGCAGCTGCAATGAAACCAGCAACATATCCAATAGTTACTTCAATCATTTCGAAGGCGAGAACTGACTGACAAGCAGATAATGAAGACGGCTCTGGAAATGGAATGTCGGTGTAAAGAAAAACTCCAAGATGACAGAACACCGCGTGACACAAAAGAACCATCGGCGGCGGAGGCGGATAACGCAGCTAAATGCCCAACGGACCAGATACCTTATTTTTAAGCTTCTTCTTTCTGCCCTATCATGCCAAGAACGCCTCATTCTCGCGAGACGCCTAGCCTGATCATGATTATCAGGGATTTGTCGTTCAAGATGCAACCCTGATTGGGTCAACTCCAGGCAACCTGCAAGCTAGCGCAAATTCGCGCTCTTTGCGATGACGAGATTATTCGAGCTGAACTTTTAGCCCTGCTTTTCATTCGTCATGTTCCTCGACCCTGGCTACTTCACCAATTGCTTGGGGGTGCAAGCGGGGGAATAGACCCCCGTTTCTGACATTTCTATGCTAGACACCCTATCCCTGCCAAGAATGGTATGGGAGTTTTGATTGTGGCAGGCTTGACCAATTGTGATTGAAGGGCGCACTTCGTCCAACGGCGGACAGTCTCAGACCGCGTGGCCCGCGGAGAACGTGATACTGAAGCTGGTCAAACGATTGTTCACCATTTTGCCAGGATCTCTAATGGCAATGGTTTCATGTATTGTCGAAACTCTGATAGTTAGTCTTACCTCGAACTTGATGCAGTGTAGCTGGTTCTTCAGTTGCTATTCTAGGCTTCGGCTTTCCTTGCAGCGCTGCATGTAACTAAGTCGTATCCCACACTACATATCTTATTATTACACGCTCGAATGCAAAGAAAGTGTAGGTGTACTTTGCAAAATAGCAAACAAGAGCGAGTCTCGGGTGTCGCATACGAGTACTATCTCACTGAAAGCTGGATTACGCTAGTACACCGGCGTATCGGGGGGGTGGTCACGTCGCTGATCAGAGCTGGAGATGGAGATTCTTGAAATCAACAATTAACTTTGGAAATCAAGAAGAAAGAAACAACCTCATACATGTCCAGTAAAGTGCATCGCCCGTCCAGTAAGAGGAGAAAACACGGGAAAACTCAGTAAAAGCACTTTCGCTGGTCCTTTTGTTAGCGAGAAGACTGCAGGGTACATATGGTAGGCCATGCCTCCTAGAGAAGATAAACAAGCAAGTTTCAAGTAACGAATTGGCCCCTTGTTAATTCCTTCGGATCGATATTGGTAAATCACCCTTACGTCATAGTCGTAAGTATTGGAAAGTTAGGTAGGTAGACACGACATGCTGCATTGTTCATAAAGCCATTGCTGGTCAAGCTTGTACTTACGAAATCATGAATTCAGTCTGCTTCACAAGTCGAAAGGGACACTCTGATTTGCCTAAGGTCGGTTACGTCTGTCAGAGTCTGTTGTAATACACACGTTGCAGTATTACACGACCATCGGCTGAACTATCGGACGAACACTTCTTACGAAGGAAGCAAATCTTGACAAGCTTTATCTCTACCGTTTCAGCGATCAGCAATGCACGAGCAGTATGAAGCTGGACACACGCGTACGTATTTCCAACGGATATTCTTGTTGTCCCATGATGACCATCTAAGATTACTACCCGGTGCCCTTTGGATTGCTACGGCCGCGACCTCTCTTCCGAAGAGTAACTGAGATGGGTTTGTTCAACTGGCGTGAGTAGACCCGAATTGATTGACAAAATCCAGTCAGTGGTCTTATAAATCACAGGTCACAGCATTCATCATGCACTTGAACTAAGCGAGCTAAAATCGCGACGCCGACAATGGGTAGATAACGACGCAGCAAGCGTCAATATGTTCAATTTTGGATCAAAATATGTTCATAATCCATAAAACCCCTTGTCACCTCCCATACCCCCCAATCGCTCACAGAATCCTAGATGCCTTTGCGCATCTAAGAAGTGCCAGAGCAGCCGACGAAGTTGTTGCCGCTGGCACCGGTGTGGGTGATCTGGCCGGCCTGTCCGCAGCTGGCGTTGATGACGACACGGTCGGCGCCGGGGGAGCCTTATTGTACTCGTTAGTCGTGGTCAAATATTACACAGATGACGCTTTCCGCGGCAACACAGCCCAAGCCAAGGAACCGCGCAGCACAACAAGACACATGAACAAACAATACTAACCTCCGGTGTAGACGCCGCTGGTCTTGATGGGGAACTCGTACCACGGGCCGCTGACGTCGAAGTCGAAGCCCTCGTAGTTGTTGTAGCGGTGGGGGTAGGTGGAGGAGCCGGCGACGGTGCCGGCCTGGACATGCTGGCAGGCGGCGTTGGAGGCGGCGTTGACCTGGGCGGTGGAGTAGGTGGTGCTGCCGCAGGTGGTGGAGCGCTTCTCGATGGCCGCGGGGACGGCCGAGACGGCGAGGGCGAAGAGGGAGACGAGGACGACGGGGAGCTGCATCTTGACGGCGGGCGGGGGTTCCGAGTAGAGACTGAGAGTGAGTGTGTGAGACTGGCCTGGCGAGAGAGAGAGGAGACTTCAACCAGACATCGCGGGGTGGACCGTCTTTATACACGAATTTCACAATGGATGAGGAATTTTTGGACTTCCCGAGGGAGACGACTACACGAACGTTGTTCCCCGTCACAGATGCAACGCACAATCACCGGTTTCCCCCCTCCTCCACCCAGCTGACGGAGCTGGGCAGACAGCTCATGAGCGGCGGCGCTGGGCGGAGGGGCGCGGCGATGATTGGGGTTGCGTTGCGCTGTCAGCGCCGGGTTTCCCTGTCGCGTTGTCGATCGCCGGTCACTCAAAGCGGAAGGTGTGTTGTAAGGATCTTATCGCATGGCCAGGAACGCGGCCGTGGTTGGTCGAAACCACAAGCGAACTCAGCAAGAAATAGCGGAAAATAGAAGCTAAAAAGCCAAATCACTACTTATTGAACTGCCCTCTGCTTCTCCGTCTTCATTGGTGGCTTGGGCACGGGGTGGAGGATGTCGTGCGCTAGTCAGGCCGCATCTACCGAACGGCATTGCAACGCCAACTTCTCATTCCTCCTGGGGCCAGAGGACAGGAGGGCGCCGTCGACGGCCCGGTGAGGAAGTCTCTCCCGTGTCTCCCGTGAATCCCGTCCCACCCACGCAGCGCGAATCCCCGCACTGGAGGAGGACCCCCCTTGCCGCCCTGCGCACCCTGTGCACCCTGCGGCCACCTCCGATCCACCGGGGGGTCCTTATTTCTTAAGCAGCTGTCGAAATGGGTTTAAGCCCGGCGGTGGTGGATTCCGCAGGGACGCTGCGATTGTCGGGCTGTCCCTATCATTCTGCCCACGAGGGCCCTGGGTTTGTTGTGAACCGGGCAAAACTTGGCTTTTAAGCGCGCTTTAGACTGTGGTGATTTCCTTGGCTCGGTTGTGAGAGGCTGGCATGATTTTACCTTCTGAGTAGGGTTACAAGCGCGGATGCCATGTGGGTGCGTTCGTCTCATGGACTCGGAATCGGCAGAGGCTGGAGTGGGGAAGAAGCGAGAGAAAGGAAGGGGACTCGGCTTCTTGGGTGACGATGTCTTGGCTTTTTCGTGGTGGATCTCTGTTCAACGGCATGGGAAAGCGACCGTTTTATCAAGGTGTCTGATAAGGAGCATGGCAATTGGAGTCGCACCACAGCCGTTCTTGTTCTTGGTGATTGAATCACCACGATGATCGTATGCCCTGCTGGAGAAAAACAGGCTTGACAGCGTTCGTTGCTAATGGTGCAGGGGCATGTGCCGCTCACTCGATGCCTGGCAAATACCCAGAAACTTATTTCAATCGTCAAAAATCAGCGCCGGAGACGTCCGCTCGTCGTTCGCCAATGTCAAGCTTCTTAGCTTGCATGTGACAGTTTTGACTGCTCGCTGTTTGTTCTGCCCGCATCGGATCAAGTGCTGGATTGGGCATAGCATCCCTGAGACAAATGAGGTGTTTCGCTTGTGGCGGGGGAGGCCAACATCATCAACGCCGGGTTTCTGAGCATCTGGGAAGGTGGTAATCCTGATCCCTTCGAATCGCAGCGTGTGTGGCAGACGATATCACGAAGTGGCTTGATTGTGCGTGTAGTACAGGTATGGCAATCAAGATAGCTGGTCGGCGAGCGGCGAGCTCCTGGGCTGTGAAGACCAGAGATAGCTGGACGAGGAGTAAAGATGTTGAATTGAGAGATATGGGATTAGCGAAGGCGAACAGCAAAGAACGTCTATCGACATGGAGGAAATATGCGGTGAGACCGGTCGAGGTCGACCTCCTACACAGCTTAGGCAGATGCAAACACAGGACTCCAATCCTGCTCCTCCAACCACTTGGCAAGACTGGGAGGCTCAATCTTGACCTTCAGATCAGAAGGCCAAGTCAGCTTTTCCTTCCATCCTTCAACCTTTTCACCGAAGAAGCCGTATTCATCCACGAACAGGTGAGTCTGGGGAACCTCCAAACCCAAAGGGTTTCCAGCGGCTAAGTCGTCCACGCTCTTCTGGACAAAGCCAAACTCTCGACCAGTGATGCGCGCAAGAGCGTCTGCCGTCTGAAAGCGCGACTGATACTCGTCGTACGCGGCAAGGATGGTCCCAGCCGGCTCGTCGACGACCAGGGCCCTGACGAACGGGCCCGTGCTCTTCGGCGCATCGATGAACGGCACGGCGACGTCGCCCGAGGTGGGGCCGTCGAACTCGGCCCGCTTGGTCTCGGGGTTCCAGCGGGGGACAAAGTACGAGCCCGGAAGGATGTTGGAGTTGTAGTGCCCGACCAGGATTTGGGACGTCTTGGACCACAGGGCAGGGTAGGTCTGCTCGATGTGCTTGACGATGTTCCACTTGCCGTCGTAGTGGTGCACATGCTTGAGCTTCCCGTGGCTCAGCTCATTGACACCGGGCAGGTTGCTGAAGACGAAGCGCTCCAAGGTGGGGACGTCTGCAGCTGCGGCAGCGAGGTTATAGCCCCATTGTTCCTCAATATCTTGAGCGACGACGGCGGGGTGGACGCCTTTCTCTTGGGCTTTCTGGGCGACGGCTGGATCTTGGATGACGCTCCAGAAGTCTGTGACGGCAAATACGGCAGTGGCGTCCTTGAAGGCGGCGCGCAGGTCCGTGACGGAGTCGAGAGAGCCAGAGACCATCTCCGCGCCGAGGTTGGCCAGCTCAGTGGCGGCAGCAGACGAGGTGTTGCGGGTGACTCCACGGACATGCCACTCGGATGCCAGCGATTTATCGCCGAGAAAGGTTCGAACAACGGAGCCGCCTTGGTTACCAGTTGCGCCCAGGACGACGAGAGTTTTCTTCGAAGCAGACATGATGAGGCTTCTGTAGAGAACGATGTGAGATATTGGTGAAATTCTATTGGAAGACTGTAAATGCGATGATAATGCTGAGGACATGAAGCCAAGCTTGATGTAGTGGGCTTGCCTCAAGTGTTATATCTGCATCTTGAAATCACGCAAGTCTGGCAGAAGTCCACGATATCGGAATCCGCTTGGCTAGTCAACGCCCCTTGGCGGAGAAATGCGACGCGTCCACATGGTGTTGAGTGCCAGCATAACGTTTGTATTGACGCAGATTACGAATGAGATAGTAGTCGCGGAGTTTGTCAGCGTCAGCATGGCGGACTTCCGTGGCTCACGCCGTGGACGCGGTTGTTGAACATGATGGAGGAATGAAGACGCCGGTTTGTAGCTAATTAGCCCCTCGGCGTGGGATAATTCGAGATGGAAAAGGGCAAATAGCGGGCTGACATCTCGCCGGCGGGGATTGGCTTGGCGGGATAAGGGATTGCCTTATGTCAGCAGTAGCCGGCAGGTCTGATATTCCGACCCGAGATAGTGCTGGGATCCACTTTACATAAGGCGCCCAAGCTTGAGATGGTCCGTGTCCCAGCATTACATCAGCTGCCATTCAGGTGAGCTAGGGTGGAGGTTCGCAGTGGCAGCAGCACCAAAAGAAAGTCGCTGGGAGCAATTGGATGCGGCCCATTTAGCGTAACGGAGAACCTGAAGCTTGGGACTGAGTGTGTGACGCGAAGCAGGGCGTCAGGGCTCCGCAAAACGCGTTTTCTTTGGATGCCAATCAAGCCCCAATTTCCTCTGCGCCTTGTGCTTGCCTCAATTAATTAATTGTCCTCAACACCACAACCGCCCACCCCATCGCCGCGTATCACGACGACGACGACAATCGCATCGACACCCACCGCTCACGCTACCAACGGTCGTTCGCACTCTCTCAGCGGTTGCCGATCCACCCCTAAATGCCCTCGGGCCGTTCGCGATGCGCGTCATCAAGCCAACATGGCTGAGCCATAGCGGCGAGCAGAAGGACTTCGAGGTCTACAGCTGTCACGTCTCCGCCGACGGCAAGCGCCTCGCGACTGCAGGTGGTGATGGACATGTGCGCGTCTGGTCGACTGAGGCCATCTACGGCGATGCCATTGAAGGCTCCGAGAAGAAGCCGCGACAGCTCTGCCACATGAGCCACCACCTGGGCACCATTCACTCCGTCCGCTTCTCGCCAAACGGTCGCTACCTTGCTTCCGGCGCCGACGACAAGCTCATCTGCGTCTACCACCTCGACAAGAGCCCTCCCGTGGCTTCTTTCGGTAATGCGCCCTCCTCCATCGCGATGCGCCCCGCTGTTTGCAGCTCTAACATTGTCCTCCAGGTCTGGGCTCCGAACCTCCCCCGGTCGAGAATTGGAAGACATACAAGCGTCTAGTCGGCCACGAGAACGATGTTCAGGACCTCGCCTGGTCTTTCGACTCGTCCATACTGGTCTCAGTTGGTCTCGACTCCAAGATTGTCGTGTGGTCGGGCCACAGCTTCGAGAGGCTCAAGACAATCACCGTCCACTCCAGTCACGTCAAGGGAATCACCTTCGACCCTGCAAACAAGTTCTTCGCGACTGCCTCCGACGACCGAACCATCAAGATCTTCCGATTCACTCCTCCCGCGCCGAATGCGACACAACATGACATGGTCAACAACTTCGTGCTCGAGACGACGATCAGCGCACCATTTAAGAGCTCGCCGTTGACGACGTACTTCCGCAGATGCTCTTGGTCCCCCGACGGCAATCACATTGCGGCACCAAACGCCGTGAACGGTCCAGTCAGCTCCGTGGCCATAATAGAGCGCACGCGATGGGATAGTGAGATCAACCTCATCGGCCACGAGGGCCCGACCGAAGTCTGCATGTTCTCCCCTCGCCTGTTCCATACCGAAAACCCAGCCGACAATCCTGACAACAACGGCCTTGTTACGGTCATCGCATCAGCTGGTCAGGACAAGACGTTGAGCATATGGAACACCAACACCAGTAGACCGGTGGTCATCCTCCAGGACGTCGCTGGAAAGTCAATATCGGACCTTGCCTGGTCCCCCGACGGCGGAACAATCTTCGCTTCAAGTCTCGACGGCTCCGTGGTTGGCATTCAATTCGATCGCGGAGAGCTCGGGTGGGTTGCCAATGCGGAGGAGAACGACAAGGCGCTGCAAAAATACGGGGCGTCGAGGAAGGGTATGGGTATCGCGGAAGATATCGAAAACCTCAACCTGGAGAATCAGAGCAAGGCCGGCGAGTCCAGGGCCGCTGAATCACGAATGGGTGCTCTCATGGGTGACGGTCCATCGAAAGACGGAGCACCTACGACGAACGGAACAAAGCCTAGCGGATCGGCGACGGGCACCTCGACACCGAAGCCAACCAACGGCAACGTCGAGCCCGAGAAGGAGAAGGAGAAGCCGGCAGAAGAGCCCGCAGACAAGTCGGCAGAGAGGGTCAAGGAGCTCAAGTCGCGGGTGACTGTTGGCAAAGACGGCAGGAAACGTGTGGCGCCTCTTCTGGTGTCTGCGTCAGGCACCGGTCAATCATCCCTGCCTCAGACACAACTTGTCGGATCTACCTCATCGAAGGCAGCACAGAACGATGCCCCACAAACAATCTTGGATCTCGACAGGCCATTTGACGGTCTTCCCAAGGGAGGAGTTGCCGCCATGCTTCTGGGTAACAAGCGGAAGGTAGCGGCGATCGAAGGCGAGGAAGAGGAAGAGCACGCGTCGAAGCGCCAGGCAACAACCGGTCCCACGGCAGTCGTGCTCAACGGCGTGGATGGAGCTGAGCCAGCTTCAGTCGTGCCAGCATTACATGGAGTTGTACCTACACCGGAGTACCTCCGTCCAGCAGTGCTAAACCCATCAATCGCCTTTGCACAGATTCGCCTCGCTGTTCCCAAGGTCAGAGCACAGATCGTACGTCCCCTGGAGCGGGGTGTCCTGCTGCCTGAGAGTAGCACCGATGAGGCGTCCAAGGTACCGGAGAACATCATCCTGGAAGCTCGAAACCCAGTTCAGATTAGGGATCCATCTCACATTTCAGCTACCAAGCGTGGAACACTGCTGTGGCAGGATTACCTCCCCAGAGCAGTCATCTTGGTCACTGGCAACAAGACTTTCTGGGCGGCAGCTTGCGAGGACGGAAGTGTCTTCACCTGGACACCCGCCGGTCGTCGGCTGATGAACCCAATCATCATGGAGTCTCAGCCCGTCATCCTCGACTGTCGCCACAATTATCTCCTATGCATCAACGCTGTCGGATTATGTCACGTCTGGGATGTGCAGAGGCAAGCAGCCACTCACCCACCAGTCTCTCTTGGCCCCGTTCTCGAGCTTGCTACTACCACGCTGAACCTCAACTCCACGACACCAGGCCCAGGCATCACGTCGGCGCAATTGAACTCAGCCGGACATATCGTTGTCACCCTTACCAACGGAGATGGCTATTACTATACCCGTGACATGTACTGCTGGCAGAGAGTCAGCGAGGCCTGGTGGGCTGTCGGCTCCCAATACTGGAATAGCAACGACTCCGCTATTAGTGCCCTTCAGTCAACCGCCGTCGGCCCCGTCACACCCGCCAAGCCGAAGGACACCGACACCGCCAACGTCTCTGCCGGTATCATTCCGTACCTCGAGCGTCACACTACCAACGAATTCCTGCTCAAGGGCCGCGCATACACCTTGCAGCGCATTGTTAAGATGCTGCTCTCCAAGGATGGATTCGAAGGCTTCGAGTCGACGGTCAGCATTGCCCATCTCGAGAACCGCATCGCCGCCACCCTGCACTTGGATGCGAGGGACGAGTTCCGTCTTTATCTCTTCATGTACGCCAAGCGCATCGGTGCCGAGGGCCACCGCGGCAAGGTGGAGGAACTCCTCAACAGCCTCATTGGCGGCATTCTTAAGGACAAGGACGAGAAGGAGACGGGACGGGGCTGGTTTAGCAACGAGGAGGACATCTGCGGCTGGGACCGGAAGGAGCTGCTGAAGGGCGTGGTCATGATTCTCGGTATGTCTCGCCACGATTCTATCTTCAGTTCAACTTTACTAACACATCACGACAGGAAAATTCCGAGAACTTCAACGACTGACGATCCAATACGCCCGCCTTCTCGACCTGAACCTCGAGAGCGATGGTATGGACATCGAGTAAGAGGGGACCATGGAAGAAGCACAGAAATCTCATATCCTTCCCGCTGTATTAATGACGAGAACCAATTGTTGTATAGTATACCTGACATGATGAGAGAAAAGGGGTCGCCGAAAGGGCACGGTCGCTGGGAGGAAGGCTTTTGGAGTCGGCGTACGCTTTGTGTAGGATGGGTTCGTTTTGCTGGGGGACACTGGGCGAGGAAGAGAACTACTTGTTTCGTTTCAACTCTCGTCGGGTCCTGGTCGTGAGGATAGTTTGAGCGGAAGCTCCAAATTCACATATTCTTAACCAAGTTTGGTGTTGGTATCATTGTTCATCGAGATGCGCATTGGCTCTTGCTTATGTGTCGATTGAGGGTCATTTGTGATGCGGATGATCTTGGAGTCTAGGTTACATCTGACTTTCATTGAGAGGAATTCCCGGGCTAAGTCGTCTTCCATTCTAACCTCCAATTCGAATGTCCCTAGCCACCACCTCCGAGACCCTACGAACAACTCGTGCGTTGTAGCCACTGCCCTTCACGCATCGCATCAGCGTAAGTGAGCAGCTTAGCAGTCGTCGCACATGATGAGGCAAGCGGTCATGCATCCAGAACGCTGGAGAGCGGACTGCCGGTCAGGGCCGCCGTAGTCTGTGGAATGTCAACGTTAGAAATACGATCCACATTTTGAGCTTGATTTCGTGATGGTGAACTCACTGTCGTGGCAGTCGGAGGTGCAGCTGAGACAGGTGCCTTGGAAGGGGGCCCCGGCTTTGCAGCCTGCCATGACTGAGGGCACGATGGCCGCGGCGATGAGGAGGATGGTCTTGGAAAAGAGCATGGTGGTGGGATGGTGTGATTGGTCGGTGAGGTGACAAGAATGCGGGTGTGGGAGGATGGTTGAGTGTTTGAAGGTTTGATACTGATAGAGGAAGATAGATGAATGTTAGTCAGAGGATATAGGTACTGCTTATACTTGATTTTGGTTGATCGCTTGGACCTGGATCATGAATATAGAAACCTCATTTCTGGCTGTGTTTCTTGGCAAATCCTGAACATAATCTAAAGTTCTCGAAGGATTCTGGAGTTCACGACGCAGCTCGAGATGAGAGCCCGACATCGCACACTAGTGGAGGCTAACTAGCAAGCTGTAAAACTATTTGGGCAATAATTTCCCTCATGAGCAGGATGTCGTCTTGGCATTGATGACAACTGATCATGATAATAAGACAACATCGAGCTGAGGCTGGGACTTGATGCGAGCGAGCGAATGAGGAACGAGGGTGAATTCCGGTGCCTAAAGAAGGGGCAGAAGACATCCTGGTTAGTGGGCAAGCCCCGAGTGGGCAAGGTAGATCCACTACTCAGCTCCTAAGCATATAGTTGACTCTCCACCAGAAGTGAGAACTTACGAGATACTTTAATGAGAAGGCAAAAGAACTTTTGGACGGTTTCATTGACGTAATGATCACACAAATACTTTGACTAGAGACGGAGCGTCTTCGTAATTATACCGCCTACTGAGCTGCAGCTAATGAGACAGGCGGAGTGAATTGAGATATACTTTTCTCTTAAAATTGACTTGTTGTTTAGTTTTAACTCGCATTATAATAAACTAGTGAGATTAAGTTCTAAGAAGCTCTCAAAATGCCATTTCTTCTTATGTTAATATTACGCAGCAGTCTGTCTACATTTTCTTTCTATGTGGCAAAGGGGACACTCTTACTAGGAGTGTATAAATATAAGCGTTTCTAAGAAAATTTTGCTATCTATATAGATAGGTATCAACAAATAAGGAGAACAATAGTAATAATAATTATTTGCGCGCGAAGGCCTGATGTCGCCGACTTACGCCATGGTGAATTTCTGAATAGGCTGATTAGATCCCTAGGATGGCCGATAAATAGAGTACCGCCCGTTAGCCAGAAAGAAACTAGTACCGCGCGCAGAGCGAAGCTCTTTTTCTGAAGTGTACGTAGTGGTAGTGTACTCCTCGTCATAGGTGAAGGACATCAATCCATTGCTTAACCGTCCGATCCCAGAATCGTTTGAGTATTGAGATGACGCTGCTTCTCTTTTCCTCTTCAAACCTTGGACCAGCTCAACACGGCAACTTCCCTCAACTACGCGAGTAGTCACTTGCATGTACCGAGGCCGGACACGCAGTTTTCTGTCTGGCTTGACGGCGTACTGATGCGCTTGATTGTCCCAGGTCCTCCAATCTGCCCCAGCATCCAGGAGAAGATCTGCGACGGCTTTATAACCATTTCTGCAGGCCGCTTCGAGTGAAGTCTGCCCCCAATAGCTGCTTCGGGCATCCAGGTCTGCTCCATTCTCAATGAGTAACTCCACAATATCTGTGTGGCCACTTGATGAAGCGGCAAAAATCGGGGGGCCGTTCCGACTGTGGGCGTTGACATCTTCACCTCGAGAAACCAATTCCCTAACGAGGTTTCGGAGGCCGTTTTTTGGAAGCGAAGTACAACGGGCCGCCTTCATGCTGCACACTCTCAGCTGGCCAATACTGCTGATACCATGCGGTATAACAGTATTGATCAAGCAAAAAGTCCGCAGCTGTGGTAATTAGGTCAGTGCATTTCTTCTCGTCTGCTTTCTTGGCATAGTCCATCCAACTGATTGCCGCATGGAACCCTAAATGGAAATTGGGTTCCTCCCCAATATACTGCGGTCCCTTTCCCTTGCCTTTGCCAAAGATCTCTGTGCCTCTGCTCGCTTCGTGAAAGGCAATGCCCCTCAAGTAAGCTAGGCAAGTTCGCGTGAGATTGATGCTAGCTGCGGGCTGTAAACCAACATCTGCATGACCAAGAAGGAACTCCTGGACGGAGGAGTGAGCGAGCTGAAGTTGAATCGTTCTGTGTCGCCCCTTTCCATTTGCCACCGATGTCACAAGGCTGGGACATATTCGTTGTATTTCCTCAGGCCGTGGCATTCTGTCTGCGATGTCGAAGGATTCCCGCCTAACGGCGACGATGTCTACGGCCTTTTCCAATGTAAGAGGGGTTTTGGAGTACAGTAAGAATTGAAGAAGGCGATTCGCTTTGGATTTCAGCGTCTGCGAGATGTTGTTGAGTATTCGTTCGTATGTTTCGTTGAGATCTCGGGGCAGTGAGTCAAGCTCGGTTTCTATGCCTTCTCGGTCAAGGCAGTTCTCCAGGCTGTGAAGTTGGCATGCTGCCCATCTGAACCTGAAATACTGGTTCAGTTGACTGTCTCTTCAATAGGCCGTGGTCATAGTGGAGATCACTTACATCCCGTCTGCCTTGCTTGTAATCTGATCACACACTAATTTGACGATGCCAGGGTCTGTTGTCCACTTTTCAAACCCAGCATCTTTGTGAAGTCTTTGTTCCACATACGACCGGATGTCCGAATTGATGGCGGTTTTGCTTAGAGGAATGCAACTCTCCGGCCCCAGAACTTTCCCGAGCCCATGTTCAAACTCGTACTCCGGTCGACTAGTTAGCATCATCTTTATATGTCCGAGGTCACCGGTAGACACCAAATCTCTTATCCAACGAATCAATGGATATCGTGTGACGCATTCGTCTAATGCGTCCATCACTATGACGGCACTCTCCACACTCCTCAGCATATCATGAAAACAACTCGAGAGCTTTTCAAAAGCAGGTTGACTATCATCATCCGAACACTCAGAGAACAAGGCATCGAGGCCAGAAACAGTCCCAACGGTGGATAAATGAAGTTGGTAGAGCAGTCCTCGAAGCATAGCATCCAGCGTTTGTTTCTTGGGATCTCGGAAATCAAAATAGAACTGTAGGAGCCATCGGACATCTTCCTTCTTGAGGCGATCGAATATCGTGGTGCTGAGGACGGTTTTGATAGTCCATACAGCCAAAGATGTTGGCGCAAACCGCTCCGCCATAGCTGGAAAGAAGGCTCATCAAATATCCATGAGCCAGTGCCTTCCTGTCGGACAATTCTGGCGCTGTCTGCGTTTGTGGAGGAATTTTGGGGGGACAACCACCTCCGAAGATCGGTGTGTCGCTGAGAAGTTCTGATGTCACTGGCAGTACGATTTGTTTCCTGTATAGATTTCTTTTGCCATCTTTGCGAAGTTTCCACTATTGGGGGGTCAGTATAGTCGGTAAAGATGAAACCGGAAGCTTTTAAACTAACGAGATTTAATGGCCATTGCAAGGTTGTCTTCCCTGTTGACAACCGCAGCTGAGACTTCCTCCAAAAGATCCCTTGTGTAAGCCGCTGCCGTCATCGCCGCAAAGCCTTGCCATTCCTTATTCTTGTGGGTATCTGAATAGTCGCAGATCCCCCGAATAACTAGACAGGGAAAATGATTCATCAAACCGGCTACCTCCATCTCAAAACAGAGCGCTCCTGTCTGTTTCGATAGTTGGTCCCTTATGTTGGCATCCTTCATCAGCCTGTTCCCGGACGCGATGAGGCCATAATGGACGGCAGGGTTGTCATCTTCAACGCCTCTCTCAGCTCGCATTACCACTTGGGATTGTTCTCCTCCACAGACCGCACTGCACTCGTTTGAGAAGTCTATCTGAGGATGCGTGATGTGCGGCAGATAGAGCCTGTCGGAGGTGACGGGGGGCCGGCGATGACTCCTCTTCAAAGGAGGATACTTCTCTAGTACTCTTTCAATCTTGCCGTTGATGTCGTGGCCCTCCATCATATGCCGGGCTTCAAGGCTGCTGACTGCCGTCAGCAATGACTGCGGAGGCTGCTTCAAACTTCCCGTCATCGAAAATTCCCGGTCTTGTATCGTCTTGCCATAGTCGTACTGCACCACGCCTCCTTTACCTGCGTTTATGTCGCGAGTCCCTACGACAATATCACCAAGACGAATGTCGTGCGTTTTGCTCGGAGCGCCACCCCCTATCCCAACCATAAGCCTAACCTTGAGATTCGGGAAACTGTGGATCATATCTCTCGCGACGGTAGCTGCGGCTGTGGTGCCATATTCCGACTTGGGCAGAGCTGCGATGGCCACATTGTGCCTTTCCATACGACC